TATATATATATATATATATATATATATATATATATATATATATTTATACACACACATATACAGAACAGTGTACACTTCACTAAATAGTCTTGTTTTTTGCTTGAATATGTTATATACTATACATGATGGCTACACACATGATATCACACTACAGCTACATATCCTCACCAGTGATGATAAATGTAGAAGATTGTAACAAAAGTTATGAAAGTTATAACCCTGTCTATTTGTTTTTCTTACATTTCTGCATAGGGTCAAACTGTATGTTTGACTTTCAACATTACAAGATGTTCAAACAATGGCTTTTTCTATTACTATCCAAAGTATATGTAACACTTTAAGTTTAGGTTTTTAAACAAACCTTTTTATAAATGGATAAGTTTGGCTGAAGTTGCTATATTGTTTTCCAACAAAGAGCAGAACGTTATCTTACAATGTGATGTATCGTTAGTAGCAACAAGGCCGGCTTCCACAGAGTGGGGAAACACAACACAGTGTGCTAATGTCAGCAGCATTTTATACCATAAATAAAGTTAGCTGTCTGTATTTTGAAGTGTCCTTGAACAAGACACTGAACCACAAATTGCTCCCCGGGCACTTTACAGCAGCTCACTGCTCCTACAATGCTCAGGATAGGTTGAATGCACTTTTATGTATGAGACAATTGAAATAAAGTTTAAGTTAAGTAAGGATTTCTTACTTCTGTATATAGTAAGGTTGTTCGGTAGATATGCGTACGTTTATATTTTACACTGGACACTTTTGCTCTTGTGATGTTTTAACACTCGATGTTTCAGCATCTGGAGGAATCCAAAGCTTGAAAGGCCTAAGTTACGGTTGGTAATGATTGGACCATTCAGGGTTTGAGGGAGTCGTTTAGCCAACGGTCAATTGCATAACATGACAGTGACAACGAATCAAATCCTATCTGCTGAGCATAACCTTGAAATGCGGATGAAAGCTCTGGAAAAAACTGATAAATGTAAAAAGGGGATCGGTTGGGTGTTTTAAGGTGTGGTTGTATGAGGTAAGTATCCATAGTCAGCGTATTACCTAGGGTCATCCATTTAAGGGTACGCTATATTTAGAATTATTCACCACTTTAACTTGCAGTGAGAAAACCTTTTCCGATGGTGAACTGAACTGAAATGTTATATATACTCTCTACAAATCCACCAGACCGTATTGACAAAAACAGTATAGATTAGTTTAACTTTCAGTTCAGTTCCCTGTCGGCAGATATTCTGACTATTCTATTAATTCTTTTTGGTGGGCCTTTCTGTAAGGTGGCTAGAATGTGTTGCTGCCCCCATCCACAGCAGTATATTACTTTGCTTCCTGTATGTTTCTCTAAACTGAATTGAGAGAAATTCGCCGATTTTCAACCTCATCTCTACCTGTCCGAGTTTGGTATATAGTGTGAAAAACAGCTGCAGTTGTTACTGATGTTCTCTGTGTCTCTGGGGCGCAGCTGCGAAAGTCGACATACGTGGTAGACGTTAAAACTACAGAGGGCTACTCTCAGGTTTGGTATCTGTGGGGCATCAAAAATGTCTGTTTTTTTTTCGCTTGTGTTACATTTCCAATAGCGAAAACTGCATCCCAAAATATGAGTGCAGAGGATGTTATGGACGATATTCTACAGTGTACATTTAAAGTATTTTTGCTAACATTGTCGTATTCTGCCGGAATGGCCGATGGATGGCTGCAGCTGCACAGGGATCATTTGGCCGGTGGGGACTCTACGGAATCTGAGCTGGCGAGATAAAACAGCGACTGGTGGAGCATTTGCTCAAATTTCCCTGAACAGAAACAAAATCTTTCTGCTGTAATCGATATCAACATGCAGTTTTTGTTGGATGCTGTTGCTGACGACAACCCAGATAGAGTGAGCATTGTTTGCGTTACTATGCACAAAAGTTTTCTTCTTGCTCCTAGTATGATGGAGACAGTCTTCAGGATCCCTAAGATAAATTGGATAAGACAACCAAAACCGGCAGAACAATTTTGGGGTAATTTTTGCATATAAATGGTTTATGTGTGACTCTACACATTTACCAGCAAGAGCCAGAAACTCCTCCCAGGTAGAGCAGAGTGTCCAAAAGACCTTCCTTTTCCATCTGATAGAGGGAACCCATCAGACCCACAGCTGCCCTCTGACCCCCACCTGATCCCAAGAGTGCGATGTGAGGGACGGATTCCTGGATGGAAAGGGAGAGAGAAATGGGAGATGGTAGTAATGATGGTTACAATATTATAACCCCAGTTCTATAAGCACAGGTGGAGCACTCTACTGGACACTATGGATACTACTCACCTCTAATCACGAACAAGCATCCGCCCACTGAAAATTTGCTTTAGCATAGCTAGCCAATCAGGAGGTGCCTATCAGAATAAGTGCAGACCCCATCGTAAACAAAGCAGCACACCCGTTCTGCTGCACCCCCTTCAGCGAACAGCAACATTTTCCTGAAATATTGTTACTTATCACCGAAGTCAACAAGGATGTTGCTTTGTGTTGCTACCTGAATACCTCAACAACTATTGGATGTATCTCTATGAGGCCACTATGATGTTGAAATTTTTCAATTTGACTGAAATGTCTCCACATCTATAAAACAGATTGCCATTGAACCTGGGTCAGACTCTCATGTCTACCTCATGATGTAGTACAATAACTTTTGTATTTCTTTTAGCGGCATCATCTGGGCCCCATTCCTCATACATGGTTCAGCAAAGTCAATCAAATGTCCTATTAGCCAGCCTAAATTAACGAGATGATTGATGTCAGGCTATGTTGGTTTCTCCATGGCTGATCCGCTCTCAAACAGTCTCGTTAATTCGACCCAGACGATCAGGATCAGGATAATTGCGTGTGCCCGTCCTACGTCAAAAGGGGGAAGCGTCGATCACCATGATTTTCTAACAGTACAATGTTAAATAAACTCAAAGAAAGAGCCTCTTTTTACTCCGCTGACGAGCAGGAGATGATCATGAATGCATATGAGGAATTCAAGACCATAATCACGGCTAAATCTAACACTGCCACCGCTGCGAGGGCTAGACAAGAAGCACGCAAAATATCACAGACAAGTTAAATGCGTAAGCTTTGGGAAATGTATCGGCTAATTTTAATGCCTCATCACCCCAATCAATCAGATTATATGTCTTTAAATGTGACTGCTGGCAGTAGGCTTAATGGCTCATTGGATGATTCTTATCATCCAATGAGATATAGCGAAAATAATTATCTCAACTCTTTCAGAATAAGTAGATAAAACAAGCCCAAAGAGTATCTAATTGATACTCATTAATATGAGGACATATGTACTGTATGCGCGTATGTATCATGTAGCCTACTATATGTGTGTATACATGTCTGTGTAGATTACCATATAGAACTAGAAGTTTGAATCTGTGTGTGAATTTGTGTATGGGCGGATCACTGTGTATGTATTATTCATAATCAGAAATTCAATCAATTGATTCAATCAATTGAAGCAGTGAAAAGAAATAGTGTGTGATTCTCTCTATTCTTATCATGAGTCCACCTTAATCATTTTCTATAATAATGACATGCTGGTGTACTAATAACACTGTCATATCATTATGAGTGCTTTAACCCTCATGTATGCAACGCAGCCATCAAGAGGACATGGGAGCAAGAAAACACTATAAGCACAAACACATTACTCAGAATGGTGAGTCAATACAATCTGTGCCATGGTAACACATCCATAAGTTTATTAAGTGCCAAATAAACTTTACGAACAGCACGGCATGCAGCGGCTTTCCCGATGTTCTCCGCATCGCCGACACTGTACAAAAATGTACCGCTCGCAGAACAGCGCAAGGCTGCATCCAGTGTGTGAGACATCAATGCTCGGCTGCAGCGTGTGGTGTTCAATGTATGGCTCCAGAAGGTCTTGTAAGTAAATGATTCCTTGTGGGCAGAATGGATAGCGCTCGTATAGGAAGTCATCATGATGCGATAACGGATCTTGGCGATGTGGAAGAACTCTCTCCCTATAAAACGCTAATCTAACTAATATCCTCCATCAGTGGATCTCTGAGGAAGGGAGCTGTACATTAATGCAATAGAGGCTTCTTAGTTTGCTCAGCTGCTTTTAATGGATCACCGTGTGTCTCACTTAACATGCATTTCTGGAACTCCCGTATAACCCCCGGTATATGCGCAAGCGCATTAGACTACCGTATATGACAGGAGCTGCCATTTCTTCCGGGGGAGTGACCAGCTTATCTAGCTACCCTCTCTTAGCCTGCCTGCCCTGGAGCAGGTTCAAGTTTATGGATGTGTTGCCATGGTGATTTTGCCGAACTTGCTTCGTGGAACCGAAAAGCTTGATTTACGTAATCTTATCCTGAAAAGTATCCGGCTAACTCAGTTAGCCACGTACGAGGAACGGGGCCCAGGTCAAAATTTAAATTTGTGAAATACTTTTTCCCAATAGATTCAGCTGTAAATGTTTGTACTAATAATAATAATTTTAGCCTGCTAACACACTAAATCTCCTTTTGACATGCTCTGTGTTAACTCAAGTAACAGCACAATATGGTGGAAAGATAAATATCAGTGCGTACAGCAACAACTCTGCCCACACAAAATGACTTTGATTAAACTATTGAAAACTGTATTGTATCAAACAATGCACAGATTAATCGCAAACCTGATTCTTGCTGTGTACATGGATAAATAAATATTAAACTGCATGTAGTCACCTACTGTTGCTAACATACTCCCATCGGCCCAGGTTTATTTATTTGTATTCGTTCATTTATTTTCTTCTAATGTTATGTGCTGGTATGTGCTTGCATCACAGCCTTGGCTTGTATTTTGACATACTCGTACTTCCGGGTCACCTGTCTTGCTTTGCGTTTCTCTTCAAAAGAAAAAACAAAAGAGGGATTTATAAAAAAAAAAAAAAAATGATTTGAGCTTGGTTCTCTCATACAAAAACGGAAAAACGTTTGTGATTTTCCGCTTTTGGTTTAAAACGGAAAACGAAAAAAACATGGTATCACTGTAGTTTAGTTTTTTTTCCAAATAAACGGTAAAACAGACTCAAAACGTACACGGACCTTGAACACAGAAAGCATATCACCTGCTAAACAACAGAATGTTAGCGTTGTCATTGTCATGTTGAGGAAGCTGATATTAGCTCAAAGCACTGCTGTGCCTAAGTACAACCTAAGAGCCACGGGCATGGCTGTAGACTCTTACGTCGTGAATTTTCATGTGTGGCTGGTCAATCAATACACTTTGACCTATAATCCTGGGAGGATTCATAAATGTGTAGTTACTGTTGATTTGTTAAAAGGCAGAGGGCTAAGAGCTTGTTTGTGATTACGTAGGAATCTTTGTTTGTAGTACAAAGAACAGTATCTTCTTCCATGTTTTGTGTCATGAAGAAACACACAGAATAGAGGCCACCAGTCTTATCAGTAACAGTCCCATTTGTACATGCTAGGGCCACCACTTAAGTCTACAGTGGAACAATGAGGTGAGCCTCTGACTTGGGTCGGATCATGAGATCAAAATTTGAATTTGAAATGAATACTTAGGTTTGTAAACAAATACCTGCAACTAATGACATTCCCATCAGCCTTGCTTTGTGTTAAGTGCTAAGCACCAAATGTTTACATGCTAAACTAAAATGTTGACCATGTTTTATCATCATTATGTTAACGTTTTCCTTGTATGTTAGCATGCTGACTTCAGTATTTAGCTCAAAGGTTTTTTTGTGCTTCAGTACATCCTCACAAAGCCGTTAAGAAGGCACATCTTGTTTCAAAATGACCATGGAAATAATGAATTGATGTTAAAATGCTATACAAAGCACCACTCAAAGTATCAATTTAGAAAATCTAGAAGGAAGAAAGAAAGAAAAAGAACACTGATATGTATTTAAGAGTTTCCTCCGACATACCAGTGTACACTCGATTCCCAGCCTGTTGAGTGACTTCAGAACAACTTTTTTCCTCTTCAGGACAAATTCTTGCTCCCCAGCAGCCGTCAACTGGGACTGACCCACATAATGCTGTAACACAAACAGAGTAGTATTATAATGTGTACATACAGTAAATAAGAGGCACAATTAAATGGTTGAAAACCATTTTATACCATGATATTGAACCTTTCTACAAAACGTTATCACGTTATCATCAAAAAGTCTTCTTTCGATTTAAAGGAGCAATATACAACATTTAGGTCATTAATGTGGTAGCAAACAACTATTTACTATATAATGATATTGTGGAGTAATGTCTACCTGAGCAGAGAATGAAGTCCCTCCCCCTGTGTGTGTTGTTATGTGAGCTTGTCATTGCTTTGTTGACATAGCCGGGTTGCCTGTCCGAGCATGGCCACGCCCCCATGTCAGGTTTAACCCTCAGGTAAACACTCTTAGCTTTTTCAGCTAGCGACGTTAGCAACGTTTATCCAGATTATCCAGGTTAAGAACCGTTGAGAGGTCAACAAAATGCTCCTAAACTCGTATTATGCACCTTTAAAGTAAACTGTTGTTTTACTAAAAATGCAGCTCCAGTTCAACGTATCCTCATACAACGGTTTGTATGGTATCATAGGAAAAGTTACTCCTCATTTTTGTGTATTTTCCTACAAAAGTCTAGCAACGTGTGTCTATTTACGCATTACATGCAGCCAGTCTTTTCAAAATAAACCTCCGTCTTCACAGGAAATAACTCAGTGAGGTTTAGGCAACAAAACTAGTTAGTTAGGTTTAGAAAAAGATCATCGGAATGACTACGAAGTGGCGTTACTGAAGTACGTTAAGTGACAATTAAATCAATTAAGTCCCTGTTTGTCATGATGGAGCCAGTGCTCGAAGTGGACTGATACTCACCATATGCGGTACCAGTACCCGTTTCTGCCCTCTCCATAACAGGTTCTCTGGTTGATTTATAATCATATGTTAATCAGTGTTATCGCTCCACCTCTAGAACGTAAAACCAATGTGGAAAGTAGCTGGATGTGCCGATGCATGGTACGAGGAGGGTGAATTCACATCCTTTTTGTAAAATAATAATTGAACTGTTTGTCAGAACATTTTTTTACTCGTGAACAAATATAATTAATGAAACATCGTTTAAACGTTTTCTGAATCCGCTCTTTAGATCCGCAGAATATGATTTCACAGGGCAAAGATTTGAAGAAGAATGAAATGTTTAGACAATGGCTGTGATATGTGTGAATAGTACAATCCTTATTTAAGTAGACCTATAGCATGTCTTGTCTTCCAGCTTTTAGGGCGTTAACTAATACTAATGGTCCAAAATTATGCTCTAACCTGACATCTCCTAGTATCTTTTATTTACTGTAGAAATTCAGAATGTGTATCTTTATCCTGCTGCATAATATGTACGAACGTCCTGACTGAGAAACTGCTTCCAAAACCTGAATGAATAGCCCCCACCCAGTCTGGCTGGCTGGTGTTGATTCCAGGCCAAAGGACATAATATATTATAGAGCGGTACTATAGGCTACAAATAACACAGGAAAGCACTTTAAGTATCTACAATATGGGTAAGTATACAAACACACCACCTTAACCCTACAGTGTTTCAGTTGCAGTATGATTGGAGTATTACAGGCCAACTATGAAGATGCATAGACCAAGTATGATTTTATAACAGTATAATCACTGACACAGCATAACATGCTTTAAGAAATAATGAATGAAGAGTAATAAGAAACAAGATATTTCTGATACCGGCTGATACACACGCCAACATGTGAATAAAGGGAGTACTGGCACTTATTTTTTTCCACTTCAAGCACTGGGTTGGGCTTAAAGTAAGTACGTAAAGTAATAGTTAGGTTTAGGAAAAACATCACAGCTGGACTTGAACTGTACGTTAACTAATTTAAATGTAAACAACGTAACAAGTACAGAAAACATGTCACAAACATCACTAACAAAACATCAAATCTACTCAAAGACTCAAACACCAATCTCCTGCGTTTGTCGTTGTAAAGGATGCCATGTGTCTCAGTATCAGACACCAAACCATGTGACAAAGATTCCGTATTTGAATAATAATAATAATAAAATGTATTTATAGAGCGCTTTTCACAGACATAAAATCACAAAGTGCTTAACAGAGCAGAAATTTAAAAGCATAAAAAACACAATGTGACCATAGGGTCAATAAATTACATACACAGAGAAAAAAAACAAAAAAAAAATATTTTAAGAGCAGGTCTAGGACATGGGTTTTTACTCAAACGCCAGCCTAAAAAGGTGGGTTTTGAGCAGTTTTTTAAAAGTATTCACAGAATCTGCGAGGCGTAGAGTCGCAGGCAGAGCATTCCACAGCCTCAGTGCCACTGCCTCAAAGGCTCGGCCACCACGGGTCTTAAATCGTGTGCGTGGAACTGACAGAGGACCTAGAGAGTTTGACCTGAGAGTGCGGGCGGGTGAATATGGGTGAAGTAGATCAGCTACATAAGTAGGAGCCTGACCGTGAAGGATTTGTCCTGGTGAGTAATCTGGCGGCAGCGTTTTGGATTACCTGCAGACGGTTAAGAGCAGATACACTGAGTGATGTGAAAAGTGAGTAACAGTAGTCAATGCGAGAAGACATAAATGTGTGTATGATCATCTCTAGTTCAGGTGTTGATACTACAGATCTCAGTTTACTGATATTTCTTAGATGGAAGAAACATGATCTGGACAGCTGCTTAACATGGGGCGTCATATCCATTCTTCAGCTGGACATCGAAGTTATGGGGTGTAGGAGAGGGATGTCTCTCTCTCCGGCTGCTGCGAGCACAGACCAGGGACCAGGGCTCGTGATGTGATGGAGTGGAGCTGACCAGGGCTTTAGGCTTAGCTCCGAGCCGTAGCCAAGAAGCCTCAGGGACTGTGACCGGAGGAGGGGCCGCGGCAGCAGGACTGGAAGCGATGGAATCATGCACACGGTCGCTGGCTGTGTCGGTTTGTGCTGGACCGAAGATGATGGTGTCCATGAGGTTCTTGGCCTCCTGGATCCTGTAGAGCGTGGATATTCTTCTTTCCAGCTCTGTGATTTTATCAACCAGGCGGGCGCAGCTGACACAGTCAGATGGAGAGGTGAGTGGAGCCATAGCAGATCTGGTGGACAATTGGGCTCCAGCCCGTAGTCCACAGCCTTGTCCTTGTATCTCTATGACACTGCCTGTACTGCAGCTGTATGATTCAGACCTCTTTACAAATACAAACCGTGATCAATATTGTACTGCAAAGACACGGAATGAATCACCAAGACAGTCCTGTTGAATTCTAACCAGCTTTGTTCAGGGCAGGACTGGTCACAGGCAGGCCGGCCACTTTCCCAGTGGGTCGATACAACTTGTCATGGCGAGCGTGCAACGGTTTGTTTCCCAGTGTCTCCTTCTCCCTTGTGTTCCATGCTCCTGTCTTCTGTGTCCCCGAATGAGAATAGTCTGCTCCTTTAGCTGAGTATAATAAACATACAACTTTATTTACCGAATGTAGATTCTGACTGAAACATTTTCCTCATTTCCTCACCTTAAGAGTGGTTGATGAATTAATCTCCGTGTTGGGTGTAGCAGTTGGCATCCTCTCTTCACTTGATACCCCTCTCATCTGAGGAGTGACTGTTGACATGTCCTCCTTGTTGTCCACAGGTTGTCCCATAGATCCTAACATCACAATACAAGCACCGAGCAGCCCAGCAACCCATCTGGCATTTCCACAGACCATGGTTGGAGGTGGGCCGAGTATGGATAATTCTGTGAGAGGAAACGAGTGGAAAGGCTCACAAAGCTAATGATTCGAGCTCACCTCCTTTTTCATATACTGCTGTCACATGACCAATTACAATCACATTGACGTCAAATAGATACCACAGGATCATACAGTAACAGAACAAATAACTAATGTTTGACACACATCTTTCTTGGGTACAACATGCACATCTAAATGTCCTTCACATCACTCCAACAGCGCGTTTATCTGCACAGCAAAGCACAACAACAAGATTGTAATATCCCAAGAATAAGGTAGAAAATTCAGGGTTAAGGTGCGTACCACAACTGATCCTTACATATCAAGAGATTAATGCAACAAGTGAATATGTAATAAGTGAATGTCATTTAAAAATGTCTTTACTTCTTAGAGCACTTCATGGATTAGAATGTGAATGGAATATTTTGTGATCACACTTGAGAGATACAGACTAGGAATATGTTCCTGCTGTAACAGATTATCTAACCAGGAGATGATGTGACATTTCATTGTAAAGTGACCATAAATACAGTGTATGTTAAACTCATATAATTTATCTGGTGACTTTAACGTCTGCTTGAGTACTTGTTTTTACAAAGTAACTGTACTTGAGTAGTTTTTGAAACTTTACTTACTTCTTCTTTAGTTTGTTCTGCTCAAAACATCACTCAGAGCATTCAACATGTTGCAAAAAAAACACATTCCTCAAATTTCCAGCCAAAATGACATTTTTGCTGTCGTTGCTTAAGCCAGGGAAGTCAAATGTATTAGTGTCAGTGTGACAGGAGACGCTAAAATGGTGTTTCTTTTTGTCATTTCTCATTGAGATTACATTAACCTAATAATACAGTCAAATAACCTCTACAGCTGAAGGAATACATCTGTTATTCAAACACCAATTCCAGCAGTCTGTTCCCAGGTTTCTCACTGTCAGTGTATGTGACAGCAATGTAAATAGGAACATAGAAGAATTAAAGTACAGTAAAACTAAATGTCTCAATACAACAATTGCATGTTTTTTTAACATCACAGTCACAGGACCCTTGCACACTACTCCCCAACCATAAACAAGGCTTCTGTTTTTATTCCCACACTGAATTGATTGGACCCATCCAAACACCTGTTGAAAGGTTGAGGGGATTCAGCCAGAACCAAAGTGTCTCTGAACACCGTTCTGTGATCGTCAACACCTGAGAGACATCTCTGATTGTGTGGACTCGCTGGCTGATAAACCAGCGCTGCAGAAGTCTCATGTTGAACAGACCCAAAGGTACCACGGCTGATGCCGCTGCCATCAGACCGAGTAAACCATGTAATGGATGTTTTTTACGTAGTATATATTTCTACTTAGTATATATTTCTACTCAGTATATTGTATTCATGCAGAAGTCATTTTGCTCTAAACTTGATCTTCACCATTGTGTCTCTGTTGTGCAGAAGAAGAATTCTCTCTTGCCTATTCACAAAGATAACTGTTTTGTATGAGAATGTTCCAGCACCAAGGCCTTTGGGCCACTTGTTTTTGATTGTTGTTCCGTATCAGTCAGACCAAAATGTCTAACATTGGCCATCGGCCCCCACCTTTGCTCATTCTGTTTAAAGAAAGTGCATTCTTCCTCACAGACTGTACGCATTCTGTTGTGATGATTGAACCTTCTCTGCGCAGAGAATAAATACTTGCGGAATAAGACAACCGGCATTGAGTTGGTGTGTAACCGGTGGTATATGGACCCAAATGCAGCACACATGATTCCAGAGATCTTTGGCTTTTATTACAAACTTCAATAACAGCAGGCAGAGTTAATCAGGATCAGAAGGCTGGTGGGTTTACCGGGAGTCAGGCAAGGCGGGTAGAACAGGGGCAGGCAGGCAGGGCCGGTAACAGGAGATCAGTCCGTAAGAGCGTGCTGGAGAGTCTGGCATAGAAAACCAAAGAACAATCTGGTAAATGTGTCTGGGAGGCAGGAGTCTATATAGGGGCTTGATTACTGATCAGAGGCAGGTGAGTGAACAGGTGAAGGGAGTTAGACTGATGAGGAGGGAGTGACTGACAAGTAGAGTGAGGAGGGTGTGGATATGGCGTCCCTGGTGAAGTTTACAAAACGCTGTTGGTTATAGTAAATGTAATTGATCCAATCGACATTTTTATTAATCGTTACCCACCAGAAAAATGTTGATTCAAAACCGCCAGCTACTTGATTTCTTCCTTTAAATTCATTAGGCACCCCCCTTGGCATCTATATACACTTGGTCATCAAAACCTCCCTTCGGGCTATCGGCATCTCTTTTGGGTCTTCTGTTAATATGTGTGTGGAGAAATGAGTTCCTGATAAGTTGTATCATTGACAGGAAAAATATAGAATGGCAATATAAGTTGCACCAACGCGCATCTACCTGTCCAATCCCTAGGCAAGATTGGATATATGGTTTTTTCTCCACACCACCACCATAAATCAGCTCTGGGTGTTGTCTGTCATGTTATTATATAGTTGGTCATTGGCATTGTGAATGTTGCTTCCAGCTGACCAGCTGTCAAAACCATTCAAGTATGGAGCAACGACGCTGCTTCACTTCTGCAGGACTGCTTTGAAAGCACAGACTGGGAAGTGTTTGCACAGGGAGCTGACCTGGAGGACTACACCTCGGCTGTCCTGGCCTACCTACACTTTTGCACTGAGACAGTAACGACCACCAAAACCATCAAAGTGTTCCCAAATCATAAACCTTGGCTGGACAGAAATGTGCGGTTACTGCTTGGAGCAAGAGACGCTGCCTTCAGGTCTGGTGACATACCGGCCTATAAAAGTGCCCGGAGGGACCTGAAGAAGGGAATTAAAGAGGCCAAGCGCAGATACAAACAGCGCTGAGGAGGATCGACATCACCAAGGCAGCGGGACCGGACAAAGTGTCGGTCCGCACACTGAAGACCTGTGCCGACCAGCTAGCAGAGGTTTTCACTAACATCTTCAACCTCTCCCTGCAACAAGCTGCAGTCCCCACCTGCCTCAAAGCCACCACCATTGTCCCTGTCCCAAAAAAGACCGCAGTCACCTGCCTCAATGACTACCGCCCAGTTGCCCTGACCCCAGTCATCACGAAGTGCTTCGAGAGGATGATACTATCACACATCAAGGACGTCCTCCCAGCAGACCTGGACAGCCACCAGTTTGCGTACCGAGCAAACAGGTCTACGGAGGACGCGGTCTCCATCACTCTTCATACGGCCCTGTCTCACCTGGAGTACCCTAAAACATACGTCAGGATGCTCTTCATTGACTTCAGCTCTGCCTTCAACACCATCATCCCCCATAAACTAGTGCATAAACTCAAAAACCTTGGACTTTCTACATCACTCTGTTCATGGATTCTGGACTTTCTCTCAAACAGACCACAGAATGTCAGGATAGGGAACCCGACAACAACCACCATCCTGAACACTGGTGCACCGCAGGGCTGTGTGCTCAGCCCGGCCCTCTTCACCCTCTTCACCCAGGACTGCTCCGCCACATATTCCTCCAACACAATAGTGAAGTTTGCTGACGACACCACTGTGGTGGGACTCATCTCCAACAACGAGACATACTACAGACAGGAGGTCCAACATCTGGCTGAGTGGTGCTCGGACAACAACCTGGTCCTGAACACCACCAAGACCAAAGAAGTCATAGTGGACTTCAGGAGATCCAGGAAGACCACACCCTCTCCACTCTACATAAGTGGGGAGGAGGTGGAGAGGGTGGACAGCATCACATTCCTGGGGCTCCACATCACTAAAGACCTCACTTGGTCCCTGAACACATCCTACCTGGTGAAGAAAGCCCAGCAGAGGCTCTTCTTTCTGAGGAAGCTCAAACAAGCTGGCCTGCCCCCTGCACTTCTGGTTAACTTCTACAGAAGCATGATCGAAAGCATCCTGTGTATGTGCTTTACTGTGTGGTATGCCAGCTGCACAGCAGAGAACAAGAGGGACCTGGCCCATGTGGTTAGAACAGCACAGAGGATTGTGGGAGTTACCCTGCCTGACCTGGACACTGTGTATGCTGGCCGCCTCCAGAAGAAGGCCAGAAACATCTGCACAGACACCACACACCCGGGTCACTCTCTGTTTGTTCCACTACCATCAGGAAGGAGATACAGGACCATCAAAACCCGGACTAACAGGCTGAGGAACAGCTTCTTCCCCAGAGCAGTTTCCTCCATCACCCCCCCACCGCCACCCACCACCCCACCCAGCTCACACCGGACAGTGCTGAAACAAACATAGTCAATAACACGACACTGTAACCAAGCACATTTTTCACTTTGAAGCCATTGATGCCTGTGCTTTATCTTGTATATATTTATTTAATGTCTTGTT